TGTCTCGTCACTCAACATCATCAGACACAGCATCACAGTATGGTAGGGGCGTAACATTTCCGTCACATGCTTGAGGTATTCGGCCAATCACAACGCACTGGATAGCTGGCCAATCACAGCACACCTCGCTTTTCAGACCGATGAGCTTTGTAAAATTCGACCGTTTCAGAAAGGCGGGGCATAGAGGAGAAACAATAATGTACAGTATGTGGAAAATAATGTTTTTTGAACCTTAAACCACGTAAACACATTTCATTACACCAAATACACCAAATAATGTTCTTTTTAGCAACATCATATGACCCTTTTAAATCACGCAAGTAAGCAAATTGTATTTATACAGCACTTTTCTAAACAAGTTAATGCAATTCAAAGTGCTTTACAGAAGCAAACCAAGAAGGACCCAAATTGATACAGCAATTAATCAAAAAATTAATCTGAACAGAATTAAAACAAATATAAAATAGACCCATTAATATACACGAATAAGAATAAAGTTTATAAAGATTAAAATATGAGATATAAAATAAAACATTAAAAATGAGGCAAAAACAAAACACATGAAATAGTGTTTTATACGTCTTTACAGAAAGGCCAAACTAAAAAGATATGTTTTTAATTTAGATTTTAAAATATTAATGATTTCAGCACATCTTATGTTCTCTGGAAGGTTGTTCCAGAGGCGAGGAGTAGAGACCTGCACTCCCGCGGAAGTACCGCGGGACCCAACCCAACAGGGTGCGGCGCGGGACAACTCTTGATGGGCGAGTGGGGGTGCGTGCGGGATGAGGGAGAATAAAATGATTCGAGGGACTCCCGCTAAATAGAAATTATCTAAACATAAAGTGTCTAAAACATATAAATTGTTATTTATCTGTTGGACAAAAGCAAAAAGAACAACTAATATTAACATTAAAATGATTGACATGCGCAAGCTAGGCATATTTCTATTTATAACACGTGTTTAAAGGGTTGCAATGTAGCCAATCACAGACTCAGCTGTTGATTTCTGGAACGCAATGGCCAATCAGAGGTGATTAAGTTGGAATCTACTCACCGCAGTGCTGAAATCGCGTGCTCACGAATCCTCTCATTTTGACACACGAAGTGTTGACACTGAAAGATTCATTGTGCATATATTTAATGTGATATAACAGAGCTTTATGAGATCGCGATTAACTGAGATGTCAGCTTTTAGTGATAATAAAGGAAGCACGCTGCTCGCATTCTGCCATGCCAAACCATGCACGCAGCAGCACATGCTTGCTTTTCCGTTAAAAATAACAGTGGTTTGTGAATGTGAATGTTGATGCTTAGCCTAAATAACAAATATTTTATCGGGAGCGTTTATGCTGGTATGTTGTGGAGCTTAGGAGATGTTACAGAGCCATTTCATGTAAACTTCTTCGATGTACTGGAAAAAAATCTATATAGATTACTTTTATGCGGGCGGGAGCGGGACAAAACATGAATGTCGCGGGCGGGAGCAGGACCAGATCAAATACATTTCTGCGGAAGCGGGCGGGCGCGGGACAGAAAAATCAGTCCCGCGCAGGTCTCTAGCGAAGAGCATAACGGCTAAAAGCAGCATCACCACATTTTTTTGTTCTGCTATGAGGTACAGAAGAAAAGAATCAGAGGATCTAAAGAGTCCTTCTAGGTTTATACTGTAAGCATTTTTGAAAGATAGTCTGGAGCAAGTCCGTGCAATGCCTTATAAACTAATAAAAGATTTTTTAAATCAATAGGAAAACTAACAGGTAACAAGTGTAATGACTTTAGCCTAATACTGGTGTAATATGATCTCTCTTTTTGGTTTTTGTCAATATTCGAGCAGCAATATTTTGGATTAATTGTAATTGGTTAATCGTATTCTTTGGTAGACCAGAAAGAAGGGCATTACAATAGTCAAGCCCGCTATTTATAAATGTATGCATTAATTTTTCTGTGTTGCTCAGAGAAAGAAATGGTCTTACTTTAGCAATGTTCTTCAGATGATAAAATGCTGTTTTGGTGATATTACGTACATGAGCTTCAAAGTTAAAATCAGAATCAAAGACAACTCCTAAGTTTTTTGCCACATGGCTTGCGTTTAATCCGAGTATATTTAGTTTAGGGGTCAATTTCTCTCTCTGCGCTTTAGATCCAATAATCAAAACTTCAGCTTTATCTTGGTTGAGTTTGTAAGAAGTTTTGTGACATCCAGACATTTATGTCTTGGATGCAATTTGCGAGTGTTTCATTTTGCACAGGGTCATCAGGAGACACAGCTACATACAACTGTGTGTCATCAGCATAGCTATGAAAAGAGATACCATGCCTCCTGATGATATGACCAAGAGGTAACATATATAGATTAAAAAGCAGTGGTCCTAAGACTGATCCCTGAGGAACCCCACATGGTACCTTGTAATATTCAGACAAGGTATTATTAAAGGGGTCCCATTATGCTCTTTTACAAAGTCTTGATTTTGTTTTGGGGGTGTACTAGAACAGGCTCTCATACTAGGTTGTTCGAAAAACACATGATTTTTCACATATTTTGCATTATTACAACACCTCTCTCCCTCTTCTGGCATGAACGGCTCGAATAGTTCCTGTATCATATGAAGGCCCGCCTTCTGAAATACGAAATTTGCTGTGATTGGTTAGCTGGGCCAGTGTGT